TGCCTGTAAGTCCAGCACTTTGGGAGGCCGAGGCAGGTGGATCACGAGGTCAAGAGATGGAGAACATCCTGGTCAACAAGGTGAAACCTCTCTCTCTTAAAAATACAAAAATTAGCTGGGCATGGTGGTGCATACCTGTAGTCGCAGCTACTCGGGAGGCTGAGGGAGGAGAATATCCTGAACCCAGGAGGCGGAGGTTGCGGTGAGCCGAGATCGCGCGGTTGCCCTCCAGCATGGGTAAGGAGCGAAACTCCGTCTCAAAAAAAAAAAAAAAAAAAAAAAAAAACAATTTAAATCACCAGGCACAGTGGCTCACACCTGTAATCCCAGCACTTTGGGAGGCTGAGGCAGAAAGATCACAAAGTCAGGAGTTTGAGATCAGCCTTACCAACATGGTGAAACCCCATCTCTACCAAAAATACAAAAATTAGCCAGCTGTGGTGGCAGATGCCTGTAATCCCAGTTAGTCAGGAGGCTGAGGCAGGAGAATCACTTGAACCTGGGAGGCAGAGGTTGCAATGAGTCGAGATCATGCCACTGCACTCCAGCCTGGGCAAGAGAGCGAGATCTAACTCAAAAAAGAAAAGAAAAGAAAAAAAAAAAAAGAAAACAATTAAAATTTTATTATATATATCATTCGTTAAGAATTCCCATTTACCGCTTCCTTTGTCAGAGTGACTTTAAACATTTCCTCATGTTTAAAGTGCTTATGGTGGGGAGATTTTATTTTATTTATTTGTTTATTTATTTTGAGACGGAGTTTCGCTCTTGTTACCCAGGCTGGAGTGCAATGGCGCAATCTCAGCTCGCCGCAACCTCCGCCTCCTGGGTTCAGGCAATTCTCCTGCCTCAGCCTCCTGAGTAGCTGGGATTACAGGCGTGAGCCACCACGCCCGGCCCTCGTGGAGAGATTTTAAACAGAATTTCACAGCTTAGCTTTTACAATGCTAACAAGGAAAAATTAGAAAAAAAAACACTCTTCCATTTTGGCTGTAGAAAATAGATACATTTCCAAGGAAAAATGTGGTAGATGATTGGTGAGTTATATAGATTCATCAAAATTCCAGTTTCTCTTTTTTCAGGGTAAAGTGGTGACTGTGAATATTTCTGTCCCATATTCTATGATCTTGAATTTTGAGTTTCTGCTAAGTATTATGAGATGAAACTGTACCTATTAGAAGTGTTTTCATATGACTAACTGTTAACTACATAATTTCTTTTTTTTTTTTTTTTGAGATGGAGTTTCACTGTTGTTACCCAGGCTGGAGTGCAATGGTGCGATCTCGGCTCACCGCAACCTCTGCCTCCTGGGTTCAAGCAATTCTCCTGCCTCAGCCTCCCGAGTAGCTGGGACTACAGGCGTGCACCATCATGCCCGGCTAATTTTTTGTATTGTTAGTAGAGACGGGGTTTCACCATGTTGACCAGGATGGTCTCGATCTTTTGACCTCGTGATCCAACTGCCTCGGCCTCCCAAAGTGTGGGGATTACAGGCGTGAGCCATCGCGCCCGGCTAACTACATAATTTCTTATAGAAATAATAAAATAGGGCCCGGTGCGGAGCCTGAAAAGCTGGGGACCCACAGGCTGGTGCAGTTTAGGTTAAGATGAATGGAAACTGGGAGCCTCTTACTGATGATGAAGTTGTTATTGTTTTGACGCACTTTCTAGACTTTATAAAATAAAAGTTAGATTTGTGTAAAAAAAAAAAAAAGAAGGGGGAATTCCAAAAAATATTGCAACAAGTACTAACCATAAGATCTTTATGGCTTGTGAAGTTTATGCAGACAGACTTTCTTTCCTAGGGAGGAGCAAACAAGATTAGAAAAAAGGTGGGAGGGGAACGGCAAACCTGACAAAATCAGATTTTAGACCAGAGAAGGTTTTACACTGCTCCCAGGACTGGGCACCACCCTCAGGAACTTCGCCACGGCATTTTTGATCCTAGTGTTTCTTGCCAAAAACCCACATGTGTGTCTACAAGTCTCCTGGCATATCCCCTCCTGCAGGCACTGAATCTGCTGCAGCAACCTGTGTTCTCCACCAACCTAAGGTTCTGGACCTCCTGATTATAATCCTGTTTATAATCTCATCTGCCTGTGTGCCCACAGAAATAAATCAGAGTACAGCCCCACCTGGGCCACATTCTGTAGCAAAAATGAATCCTTTCACCTACAGTTTACTCTCTTTCACTCCGGGATTTCATTTTGTTTATTTTTGTTTTGTTTTGTTTTTGGGGTGGATTTTATTTTTCTATTAGCTTTTATTATTGGTTTGAGGTACACATGTGGGTTTGTTTTACAGCTAAAATTATGTCATGGGGGTCTTGTGTGCAGATGATTTTGACACCGAGGTACTATCCATAGCACCAAACAGGTCTGTTTTCTGATTCTCTTAGTTTTCCCACCCTCCACTCTCAACTAGGCTTCAGTGTCTGTTGCTCTCCTTTTTGTGTTCATGTGTTTTTGTTATTTAGCTCTTTTTTTTTTTTTGAGACGGAGTTTCACTCTTGTTACCCAGGCTGGAGTGCAATGGCAGGATCTCGGGTCACCGCAACCTCTGCCTCCTGGGTTCAAGCAATTCTCCTGCCTCAGCCTCCTGAGTAGCTGGGACTACAGGCGCGCACCATCATGCCCAGCTAATTTTTTTTGTATTTTTAGTAGGGACAGGGTTTCACCTTTGTTGCATTGAACTTAGCACAGAAAGTCAACACCAGAACAAAAGAATGCCAAATTGCAGGGTTTATTGCCGGCGACCACGGAGGACTCACGTCTCTCCAACCCGTGGCAGAGAAAGAAGAGTGACAAGACCTTTTTATACCCACAAAACCACCTTGGGAGTGGGGGTGAGGAACGGAGATGGGAATGAAAGCTGTCAATCACCTCCTAGGCTGAGAGGAGGGTGAGGGGGCTCCAGATATTCCAAGGGCCAGGGGACTTTTGTCATTCCGATTGCCAACTAAGTGGTTTACAGAGGTCAAGATAAACATTAGTTTATACATTATTTGGACAGGTGTGGGGTCCACATAATTTTAGGTTACTTGGTGCCAGGATGGAATTATCTGGGGTTGCTTACTTTGGTAAACAAAGGCCAGCAATTCTGGCAGTTACAGATAAGGGAAAGTATGCAGCTTGTCCTCTCTTTGCATTTTGCAAGGTAATCTTAGTAGTTTACAGAAGCCATGGCTAGCAGTCATTGTGAGGAGAATGGAAACAGTTTTCCCATTTTAAAATGGCATTGTACTGGTTCTAATTCTAGGCCAGCTCTAACACACCTTGTTGACGAGGATGGTCTCGATCTCTTGACCTCGTGATCCACCCGCCTCGGCCTCTCAAAGTGCTGGGATTATAGGCGTGAGCCACCGTGCCTAGCCTATTATTTAGCTCTTATAAATAACGAGGCACATTTAGTTTTCTTTTTTGTTTTGAGACGGAGTTGTGCTCTTTTTGCCCAGGCTGGAGTGTAGTGGTGCAATATTGGCTCACTGCAACTGTAATAACCTAACTTGCACTAGTTTAACTGACTCCATCTTAGCTGCAAACCTGACAAGCTCTCTCGAGGCTCACCTTCCCTGCTGCAGCCCCTCAGGTGCATTATTGGGTCCCCTGCACTCAAAGCTTGAAACTGTTAAGAGTGGTTCACATCGTTCACAGTACCGGCCAGGCGCGGTGGCTCACGCCTGTAATCCCAGCACTTTGGGAGGCTGAGGCGGGTGGATCACGAGGTCAAGAGATCGAGACCATCCTGGTCAGCATGGTGAAACCCCGTCTCTACTAAAAATACAAAAAATTAGCTGGGCATGGTGGCGCGCACCTGTCCCAGCTACTCGGGAGGCTGAGGCAGGAGAATTGCTTGAACCCAGGAGGTGGAGATTGCGGTGACCCGACATCGCCATTGCACTCCAGCCTGGGTAACAAGAGTGAAACTCCGTCTCAAAGCAAAAAACAAAAAATATTGTTACCAGTACCTGTAACCACTGTAACCACATCCTGCTTGGGGAGTCTACCTGCTATTGTGAATCCCTTCCTTGGTGATTGATTGTATGGAAAGTTCCCCCTGCTACTCCCCTTCTTAGTGATTATATGGAAATACCCTTAGCAACCAACAATCCTGAGAACCTCCTGCCCCCTGGTTACCAGCTTCTCTAACTTGCTTGTTCAGCTTCCGTAAAATTCTGCTTCAGCTAGGCTCCCCCTCCCCTACCTAAATCAAAGTATAACAGGAAATCAAGCCCCTTCCTTGGGGCTGTGATATAGCTGGCCTAGAATTAGAACCAGTACAATGCCATTTTAAAATGGGAAAACTGTTTCCATTCTCCTCACAATGACTGCTAGCCATGGCTTCTGTAAACTACTAAGATTACCTTGCAAAATGCAAAGAGAGGACAAGCTGCATACTTTCCCTTATCTGTAACTGCCAGAATTGCTGGCCTTTGTTTACCAAAGTAAGCAACCCCAGATAATTCCATCCTGGCACCAAGTAACCTAAAATTATGTGGACCCCACACCTGTCCAAATAATGTATAAACTAATGTTTATCTTGACCTCTGTAAACCACTTAGTTGGCAATCGAAATGACAAAAGTCCCCTGGCCCTTGGAATATCTGGAGCCCCCTCACCCTCCTCTCAGCCTAGGAGGTGATTGACAGCTTTCATTCCCATCTCCGTTCCTCACCCCCACTCCCAAGGTGGTTTTGTGGGTATAAAAAGGTCTTGTCACTCTTCTTTCTCTGCCACGGGTTGGAGAGACGTGAGTCCTCCGTGGTCGCCGGCAATAAACCCTGCAATTTGGCATTCTTTTGTTCTGGTGTTGACTTTCTGTGCTAAGTTCAATGTAACAGGGCCAGGAGATTTTGAGCATGAGCTGACTCTCCGTAGCTGGCTAATAAAGGACTCTTAATTTGGAAAGCAGAGTGTGGGGCGTTCCTTCTGACTCACTTGGTTACAACATTTGGAGGTCCCAGCGAGATATTGTCACTATTGGGTGTGGACTGGACTCACTTCGAGTTCCCCCAGACGTAGTGGCAAACTATAGGTGAGGTGCCCCCCGAGACGTTCCAGGTCCCCAAAAGTCACCATCTTCCGGAGGAGATCGGATGGATCACTGGCTTGCCCACAAAATTATTCTTCTGAGTCCTCAGTCCTGTTCCGCAGAGAAGGTAAGTCAGGCCTGACCTGGTAATTCCTGGAAGTTAAGGAGTCATCCGATTACCGGGATGCTGGAAGTGACTGTGGTGACTCCTGGATTCTGATTTCCGCCTGGTTTCAGAAGTTGCTCCTGTATTCTCATTTTCGGACTCTGGGTTTTGATTCAGGGAGGGGCATTGGCCCTAATAAGGGCACCCCTCAGGGTCTTGCCAGCACTCCCAGATTCTGGAGTCCCAGTTCTCCTTGGCTCTTTGAGCTGTCACTGGTTTTCTAAGTGGCTCCAGTTTTGGTTTTGTCTGGATACTTATGTGCACACATGTGTGAGTGAGCTTCTCTGGGATCCTGGCTGCTTTACAAAAAGTGCAAAACCGTTATAACCTCTTGGTGCATGTGTGAGTCCATGGGGACCTTAGAGGCTTGTGTCTAAGGATCCAGTTTGTGGCTCCACGGTGAAAGCTACGGAGTCGAAGTTGGCCCTAACCTGCCAATCCATGGTTACGTCATATGGCTTAACAACAGCATCAGACTAGTTCTGATCTGAGTCTCAGGTTTATACCGACCCGCCTATGTCAAGAGGCACCTAAGTCCCTGTAAGGGGAGCGACCACGCCAGCATCTGAGTGATCCTGATATGGGACCCCCTTTCCCTTAGTTTGTCCTTGAAACTGCCATAGTCATTTATCTGCCTCAGTGCCTGATCTACCTCAGTGCCTGTTGTCCTGTTTTGTTGTCTTGTGTCTGTTGTCTTGTTTGTCTAGCGTTTGAATGTCCATGTCCTGTTGCCCTTATTGCCCTAGAGGATTGGGTGAAAACTTTTTCAAGGTCCTTGGTACAGACTTTCTATCTCAGGAAGTCAATCCCTCATTAGCCGTTTGTGCTGGCCATCTCAGTCCTGTCTTTTCTGTCAAACACAGGTCAGGGGTAGTTATGGGAAAGATGCTGCTAAGCATCCACCAGTCTGGAATTTCTGGCACCACAGAGGTTGGTGGCGCCTAGACTGTCACATCCGACACCCCAACAACTGGTCTGACCCCTCCTTGGCTGAGCCAGACTTCTCCTTTGCTCCGACCCTTAGCCTCCTGCTCCCCTGGGACTCCCCTGGTCTCCTCGTCCTCATCCCCTGTGGTCTCTCCGCCCATCACCTCCCAACTGCAGCCTTGGCCGGAGGAGAATGCCCCACTCCTTCCTTTAAGGGAGGCACCACCCCTGCCAGGTAGTAGGTAAGCTGTCCCATTTTTGGTTTATGTCCCTTTCTCTACTTCTGATCGGTACAACTGGAAGTCCCCCCCAAAAAAACCCACTTTTCTCTGAGAAACCTCAGGTCCTAACCTCACTGCTTGAGTCGATACTCCGGACTCACTGGCACACCTGGGATGATTGTCAGCGGCTTCTCCGGACCCTTTTTTTTACATCTGAAGGGACTGCATTCGAAGGGAGGCCAGAAAGTTTTTTCCTTAGTTCAGCCCGTATGCTGGAGGAGGGAGCCTGAGACCTCCTAGAGGAAGGTTTTCCTTCTACTTGTGCTGACTGGGACCCAAATACCTCTGTCTGGAGTAGAGGTTTGGACAGTTTCCACAGGTATCTCCTTGCAGGTATTGAAGGAGCTGCTCGAAAACCCATGAATCTATCTAAGACAACTGAAGTTGTCCAGTGGCCTGATGAGTCACGTGGAGTGTTTTTGGAAGGCCTCCAGGAGGATTTATACCCCATTTAATCCCGTGGCTCCCCAAAATAGCTGTGCTATAAATTTGGCATTTGTAGGCTCAAGCAGCTCCTGACATTTGAAAAATATTACAAAAACTTGAGGGATTTGCTGGGATAAATATCACTCAGCTCCTAGAAATAGCTCAGAAGGTTTTGATAATCGAGAACATGAGAAACAGAAATAGGCTGCACTGGCAGCTGAAAAGGCATCAGAAAGGCAGGTAGGGAGGGAGAGGCTCGAGAGAGCTTCTCAGGCTTGCAGCTAAGATGGAGTCAGTTAAGCTAGTGCAAGTTAGGTTATTATACAACCTCCGCTGCTTGGGTTCAAGCAATTTTCCTGCCTCAGCTTCTTGAGTAGCTGAAATGATCATTTCTAGCTAATTTGGTATTTTTAGTAGAGATGGGGTTTCTCCATGTTGGTCAGGCTGGTCTCAAACTCTCAACCTCAGATGATCCACCTGCCTCGACCTCCTAAAGTGCAGAGATTATAGGCATCAGACACCATGCCTGGCCTCTGCATTAGTTTTCTAAGAGTAATGGTGTCCAACTTCATCTATGTTATTGCAAAGGACATGATTCTTTTTTTAATGGCCACAGAGTGTTCCGTGACGTTTATGGACCATATGTTTTTACTAAATCTTTTATTTTGTTTTTGGAGACACTGTTTCACTTATTGCCCTGGCTAGAGTGTCATGGCATGATATTGGCTTACTTTAGCCTCAGCCTCCCAGGATCAAGGAATTCTCTCCTACTTCACCCTCCCAGGTAGCTGGGACTAAACATGTGTGTTACTACGCCTGGCCAATTTTTTTTTTTTTTTTAATTTTGTAGAGGCAGTATTTTGTCATTTTGCCCAGGCTGGTCTCAATATTCTGAGCTCAAGCATCCCACCTACCTCAGCCTCCCAAAGTGCTGGGATTCCAGGCATGAGCCACCGCATTTGACCATGCCACGTTTTCTTTATGCAGTCTACCATTGATAGACATCTTGGTCCTATGTCTTTGCAATTCTGAATAGTGCTGCAATAAACATGCATGTGGATGTGTCTTTATTTCTTTGGGTACATAGCCAATTATGAGCTTCCTGGTCAAATAGTAATTCTGTTTTTAGTTCTGTGAGGAATCGCTACACTGTCTTTTTTTCATGAGATAGAGTTTTGCTCTTATTGCCCCAGATGGCATGCAATGGCACAATGTCAATTAACCGCAACCTCCGCCTCCTGGGTTCAAGCAATTCTCCTGCCTCAGCCTCCTGGGTAGCTGAAATGATGGCATGTGCCACCACTCCTGGCTAATTTTGTATTTTTAGTAAAGACGGAGTTTCTCCATATTGGTTGGGCTGGTCTTGAACTCCCGACCTCAGGAGATCTGCCCACCTCGGCCTCCCAAAGTGCTGTGATTACAAGCATGAGCCACAATACCTGGCATGCCACACTGCTTTTTAACAATTCTTGAACTAATTTAACTCCCAACAACAGAGTATAAGAATTCTTTTTTTTTTTTTTTTGAGATGGAGTTTCACTCTTGTTACCCAGGCTGGAGTGCAATGGCGCGATCTCGGCTCACGCAACCTCACCTCCTGGGTTCAAGCAATTCTCCTGCCTCAGCCTCCTGAGTAGCTGGGACTATGGGGCACGCCACCATACCCAGCTAATTTTTGTATTTTTAGTAGAGACGGGGTTTCACTGTGTTGACCAGGATGGTCTCGATCTCTTGACCTCGTGATCCACCTGCCTCGGCCTCCCAAAGTGCTGGGATTATAGGCGTGAGCCACCGCACCCGGACTGCCACCACCAATTTTTTATTGAGTAGTACCAGGTAGTAAAATTAAAAACCCACAAGCAGGGCTGGGCATGGTGGCTCAAGGCTGTAATCCCAGCATGACCAGGCAGGCAGATCACCTGAGGCAGGGACTTTGAGACAAGCCCGACCAACATGGTGTATCTTCATCTCTACCAAAAATACAAAATTAGCCAAGAATAGTGGAGCACACCTGTAATCACAGGTACTCTGGAAGCTGAGGCAGGGGAATTGCTTGAACCAGGGAGGCAGAGGTTATGGTGAGCCGAGATTGCACCATTGCACTCCAGCCTGGGCAACAAAAGCAAAACTTCGGCCAGGCGCGGTGGCTCACACCTGTAATCCCAGCACTTCGGGAGGCCAAGATGGATGGATCACCTGAGGTCAGGAGTTCGAGACCAGCCAGGTCAACATGGTGACACCCCATCTCTATGTTTAAAATTTTTTTTTTAAATTAAAAAATTAAAAAAAATGAAACTTTGTCACCCCCCAAAAAAAGACAACTACAAGTTGAAAGTATTTTCTAAGTATTTAGATATTTCTGTTATTGATTAGTATTAGTATTTTGGTATTAATTTACTAGAATATTTTATCACATCCTCTCTGAGCACATTACTAGCTTGTAAGTGGAGAATATGAGCCAGATTCATGTTATTTATTTTTAAGTAAAACAGGTATTGCTGTTTCTAAGCCAGACCTGATACCTGGCTGGAGCAGGGAAGAAAACCTTTGACTGTAAAGAGACATGAGATGATTGCCACAACCACAGGTAGGTGCCAGTGAAAATGAATACAACAAGACGACACTGTTTAGAGGTCCCAAGGTCAAAGAGAAGGCCAGCCCTTAAAATGTGAAATGGGAAGCTGTATGCCAAAGGAAACGCTTCTGGGCGGCTGATTTTTTTTTCAAATTTTGCTCTCGCAAAGGGACATTTTCTGTCTGGGCTTTTACATTCTCTAAAGATTCTACTTCTTTTGGTGGGCATCCTTCAAGGTTACAGTGAGAACCAAAGTCCTCTTCATGGTATATAAGTGACTGCATAATCTGCCTGCCTTTTTATTGTTCTGGGGACACACAAATATCTGCATGATTTTTAGAAACAAACTAGTTTTTAAGTCCTTATTTTGCATCAGGTCTGAAAAGTGTGAGAGCAGTAGTTTCTTTTTTTTTTTCAAGTCAGAGTTTCGCTGTTGTCACCCAGACTGGAATGCAATGGCACGATCTCGGCTCACCGCAACCTCCGCCTCCTGGGTTCAAGCAATTCTCCTTCCTCAGCCTCCCGAGTAGCTGGGACTACAGGCACGCACCACCATGCCCAGCTAATTTTTGTATTTTCAGTAGAGACGGGGTTTCACCTTGTTGACCAGGATGGTCTCGATCTCTTGACCTCGTGATCCACCCGCCTCGGCCTCCCAAAGTGCTGGGATTATAGGCGTGAGCCACCACGCCCGGCCTCGATTTGTTTTCTTTTTTAACTTCTAATTTTTCTTTATTTTATCAGACAGTTTTTTAAGTGTCTGAAAGCATACATATACTTGTATGTTAATTTTATATATTGCTAATTTACTGATTGTATTTATTGATTTAAACAGGTTTTAATATACTGTTTATTTTTTATATAAATTATATGATATAAAAACAGCAACTTTTTACTTATTTTTCTTCTGTTTCAATGTATCTTTTTATTTATTTAACTAATTCATCTGCCACATACCACCAATACTACATTAGAATAGAAACATTGACCCATGGGCACAATATAGTTTGTACTGGTGTCTGAATTTGATAACGCAAGCACCTCTTCATGTTTTTATAAACTGATTTTAGAAGGTAAAGGTCTTCTTTGGTTGGGCCCTTAGGGTGCTGAGATGCCCTCTGACTTTGCAGTGGAGAGGGGCTGTAGCTTGGTCACAAGGCTGCTGGGTCTGCACTAGGGTCCACCTTTAGTTGGCTTGTTACAGGAGCTTGCGTAGTTGTAATTTCCATTTTGTTTTTGGACAGACTGCATATCCTTCAGGACTTGGCTCCCTTGGGCAGACACTAGGGCATGTTTTGGCAGTTGGATTTGCATATGGTGGGCCTTGTATCAGGATGTGGATGAGCATGGTTTTCACTGAGTACCAGATAGCATTTCCTCAGGTAACTGTGTGGGTTTCTATATGGGCAGAACTGACCATAAACTGTGGCTCAGGTGACTGAAACTAAGTCATTGAACCACTTCAGGGACTACAGTAAAGGCCCTGGCCTGCAGGCCTGCCCCCATGGCTGTAGGTTGCTCTGTCACCCAGGCTGGATTCCAATGGCATGATTTTGGCTCACTGCAACCTCCACCTCCTGGGTTCAAGTGATTATTCTGACTTACTCTTCTGAGTAGCGGGGACTACAGGCGTTGGCCACCACACTCAGCTAATTTTGGGGGTTTTCTGGGTTTCACCATGTTGGTCAGGCTGATGTCTATCTTCTGATCTCAGGCAATCCACCCGCTTCAGCCTTCCAAAGCGCTGGGATTTAAAGGTGTGCGCCACCACGCCCGGACCCGTGTAGTCTTTTGTAGGACTGTGCTAGTGCTGATGAACACTCTCAACTTTTATTTTGGAAAGTCTTTATCTCTTTTTTGAAGTAAAATAATTTTGAATCAACTATTGCTGGTTAGAATTTTATGTTATTTTATTTTTTGTGTGTGTGGTGAGGTATGGTGGCTCAATCTGTAATCTCAGCACTTTGGGAGGCCAAAGCAGGTGGATCATCTGAGCTCAAGAGTTCAAGACCAACCTGAGCAACATAGAGCAACCCTGTCTCTACTAAAAATGCAAAATTGACAGACGTGGTGGCTCACGCCTATAATTCCAGCACTTTCGGGGGCTGAGGTGGGTGAATCACCTAAGATTAGGAGTTCAAGACCAGACTGAGCAACATGGTGAAACTCCTTCTCTACTAAAAATACCAAAGAGCCAGGTATGGTGGCAGTTGCCTGTGATCCCAGCTATTCAGCAGGCTGAGGCAAAAGAATCCCTTGAACCCTGGAGGAAGAATTTGCAGTGAGCTGAGATCACACCATTGCACTCAAGCCTGGGCGACAAGAGTGAAACTCTGTTTAAATAAATAAATAAACATATAAAAATACAAACTTAGCCAGGCGTGGTGGCCCATGCCTGTAATTCCAGCTACTCCAGAAGCTGAGGCAAGTTAATTCCTTGAACCAGGAGGTAAAGGTTGCAGTGAGCTGAGATCGTGCCACTGCACTCCACCCTGTGGGACAGAGTAAGACTCCATCTCAAAAAAAAAATAAACTTTTTTGTTACATTGTTTTGTTACATCAAAATTTGTGAAGTTCTTAGCTTTTTTTCATCTTCAAGTAACCTCTGCATTATTTTTTCCCTAAATTCTAAGATTTCTTTCATGAAAATATTGATTTACTTGATAGTATTCAGTAAGTTTTACATTCCATGTTTTAATTTTGTTTTGCAATTTTATATTTTTGGTTATGCCACATCACACCAGTTAACTGGGTTTTGATTTATTTATTCATTTATTTACTTTTATTTTTTTGATACAGAGTCCTGTTCTGTCCCCCAGTCTGTAGTGCGATGACGAAATCTCGCCTCACCGCAATCTCTGCCTTTAGGGTTCAAGCAATTCTCCTGCCTCAGCCTCCTGAGCAGCTGAGATTACAGGCATGTGCCACCATGCCCGGCTAATTTTTTGTATCTTTAGTAGAGATGGGGTTTTACCATTTTGGCCAGGCTGCTCTCGAACTCCTGACTCGTGATCCACCTGCCTTGGCCTCCCAAAGTGCTGGGATTACAGGTGTGAATCACTGCGCCTGGCTTTTTTTTTTTGAGATGGTGTTTTGCTCTTGTTTCCCAGGCTGGAGTGCAATGGCAGGATCTCAGCTCACCGAACCCTCCGCCTCCCAGGTTCAAGCAATTCCCCTGCCTCAGCCTCCTGAGTAGGTGGGATTAAAGGCACCTGCCACCATGCCCTGCTAATTTTGTAGTTTTAGTAGAGATGGAGTTTTTCCATGTTGGTCAGGGTGGTCTCGAACTCCCAACCTCATATGGTCCACCCGCCTCAGCCTCCCAAAGTGCTGAAGCGAAATTATAAATAAGCCATATATCTATTGTCAATATAATTATTTCTGTGTTTATTTGCCTGTACAAATTTCCCTATATTTTATGTCACTCGTGTATTTGTTCTGTAGGTTTGTTGTAACGGTTTTTATTTTTGAAATGGAGTTTCAAAACAACTAACTGTATTTTTGTGTCACTTGTATATTTGTTGCGTAAGTTTGTTTAAACAGTTTTTTTTTTTTTTTTTTTTAGATGAAGTTTCACTAGGCTGGGAGCGGTGGCTCAGGCCTGTAATCCCAGCACTTTGGGAGGCCAAGGTGGGCAGATCACGAGGTCAAGAGATCAACACCATCCTGACCAACGTGGTGAAACCCCGTCTCTACTAAAATACAAAAATTAGCCGGGCGTAGTGGCATGCACCTCTGGTCCCAGCTACTCGATAGACTGAGGCAGAAGAATCGCTTGAATCCAAGAGGCAGAGATTGCAGTGATCCAAGATTCAGTCTCAAAAAAAAAAAAAAAGACGTTTCACTCTTGTTTACCAGGCTGGAGTACAATGGTGTGATCTCAGCTCACTGCAACTTCCGCCTCCCGGTCAAGTGATTTTCATGTCTCAGCCTTTTAAGAGGGGGTTTCACCATCTTGGTCAGGCTGGTCTCGAATTCCTGGCCTCAGGTGATCCGCCCGCCTCGGCCTCCCAAAGTGCTGGGATTACAGGCGTGAGCCACCGCGCCCGGCCTCTAACAGTTTTTTAGACCTGTCTTGGTGAGTAGTCATGAAAATTCTCCTAATTTCAACATCTATTTATTTGTGAACCTATATTATTTTTGTGTGAGAGAAAAACACTTTTGTATTTGAAGAGAATTTAAAATCTAAAATAATTCTGTATCACTCTTAGGTATTATTATTTTTACTTATGTGTTACGTGTCAAAAAAAACATAAAATGTGTTATGTGTCAAAACACAACAAAATTTATAATAAAATATTTCTATGCCAGGTACGGTGGCTCGCACGTGTAATCCTAACAGTTTGGGAGGTTCACTCGGGTGGATTATGAGCTCAGGAACTCAAGACCATATGGTGAAATGTAGGGTCTAGCCCTGATATATCTAAACAGTGTTCTCTACCGGTGCGGAGATGAGAGACTGTAGAAATAAAGACACAATACACTGAGAGCGAGGAAAAAAGTTGGGTCCAGGGGTCCACTGCCACCAGTTCTCGAGACCGGCAGTGGCCCCGAGTGCCTGGACACTCTGACTTTTATTGGATACAAAGTAGGAGGGCACCGTAAATAGGATGAGCCATCCACAGTTACTGATAGGGTCAAGCAAATCACGTGTCTAAGGATGAAGGGGCTCAGGGCTTTCAAGTAGCGGAAGCAGGGGGAGACAAAATGCGTCAGCACTTCGTGTTGCTGCTTTCAAGTAAGATCAAAGGCTTCAATAATTATGCTTCTCTTACTGATATCAACAAAAGCGGAACCAGGTACAGAGGCAGGGAGTGAAAGTAGACCCAGATTGTGACCGATATAGCACAGCATCACAAAGAGACAATTAATTCCCGGGGTAACTGCGGGTTGAGCTGACTGCTATCAGTCCTTCCACAAGAGCGTGGGGAATGGAGTGTTCTCCAGCTCACCCAAGGACAGGGGATGTTCCCTTCCATAGTCTGCTAAATAGCTGGCGCTTCTTCAAGCACTGGCGCCACCGCACAGATTTTAGACACCAGTGAGCAACCTCTACGCGGGTGTAATAGAGGGCTTGGATTCGGCATTCAGGTTGTTCGTGCTGATCGCCACTTGTCAATGTTCCACAGGTATTAATGCTCTTGCCTCGTGGCCACATCCCATGGTGTCCCTCATCAGTTTCTGATCACAGCCTGATCGTTCCTAGATAATTATGCATAAAGTACAAGAAATCTTTAATCAAGGCTAAATATTCAATAAGATCATGATACTTATTCTTCACTGTATTCTTCTTTCTATAGTCTATTTATGAAACAGGAAGTGACTGAGTCTTCAGCCTCCTGCTTCAACACTTATGAGACTTTCCACCCACGGTCAAACCGCGTCTCTACTAAAATACAAAAAATTAGCCGGGCGTGCTGGTGCTTGCATGTAGTCCCAGCTACTCACTAGACTGAGGCAGGGGAATCTCTCGAACCCGGGAGGTGGAGGTTGCAGTGAGCTGAGATTGTGCCACTGCACTCCAGTCTGGTACTCCACTCCAGCCTGGGTGACAAGAGGGAGACTCTATCACAAAACAAAAAACAAGCAAACATAAATATACATATATTTCTAAATATTCAGTTTGGGGCCGGGCACGGTGGGTCACGCCCGTAATCCCAGCACTTTGGGAAGCTGAGGCGGGTGGATCACTAGGTCAAGAGATCGAGACCATCCTGGTCAACATGGTGAAACCCCATCTCTACTAAAAATACAAAAAATTAGCTGGGCATGGTGGCGCGTGCCTGTAATCCCAGCTACTCAGGAGGCTGAGGCAGGAGAATTGCCTGAACCCAGGAGGTGGAAATTGCGGTGGGCCGAGATCGCGCCATTTCACTCCAGCCTGGGTAACAAGAGCGAAACTCCGTCTTTAAATAAATAAATAAATAAATATTCAGTTTGGTCATGTTAATTATATTCACATTGTTATGCAACATATCACTAGAATGGTTTTTCTTGAAAAGCTAAAGCTCAATACACGTTAAACAACTACCAATTCTTCCCATTTTTTGGCACTTTTCAAATGTCACTCTGTTTTCTGTTTCTAAGAGGATAACTGTTTTGTGTATCTCATACAATCTGTTTTTTTGTGGCTGACTCATTTGATTTTGCATGTCATCAATATTTATCTTAGTCATTAAAATATTGTTTGCTTTTTGAAATCTGAGTGATATTTCAGTATTTTTGTATCTACTGAATGATTCGGTGACAGAAATTTGCATTCTTTTTACCTGTTGGCTTTCAGTAACAATGCTGCAATAATTATGTGAAAGTTAGTATAATGTATGTAGTGGATTCTCTTTTATTAGTCTACTTTTTCATCTTTTTTTTTTTTTTGAGACGGAGTTTCACTGTTGTTACCCAGACTGGAATGCTATGGTACAATCTCGGCTCACCGCAACCTCCGCCTCCTGGGTTCAGGCAATTCTCCTGCCTCAGCCTCCTGAGTAGGTGGGATTACAGGCTCGCGCCACCATGCCCAGCTAATTTTTGTATTTTTAGTAGAGACGGGGTTTCACCTTGTTGACCAGGATGGTCTCGATCTCTTGACCTCGTAATCCACCTGCCTCTGCCTCCCAAAATGCTGGGATTATAGGCGTGAGCCACCGCGCCTGGCCTACTTTTTCATCTTTATACTCATACCAAATTGTTTTGATTCTGTAGGTTTTGGATGTGTTTTGAAATCAGAAATTGTAATGCCTCCAATATTGTTTCTTTTCTTGAAGATTGCTGCATACTTCATTGTCTCTTTAGATTCCACATACTTTTGGATTAGCTGTTTTTATTTCTTCAAAAATGCGATGAGAAATTTGAAAAACATTGCATGAAATCTGTAGATTAAATTGAGCAGTATAGACATCTTCACAATATTACTTCTATTTTGATTTTTTGTTTTTGAGATGGTGTTAAATTCACCCGCCTCGGCCTCACAAAGTCCTGGGATTACAGGCGTGAGTTGCCACACCCAGCCCAGTCATTTTAACAAGTGCATGCTCAAGAGCATAGTGTAGGGCCCGGCGCAATGGCTCAAGCCTGTAATCCCAGCACTTTGGGAGGCTGAGGAGGGTGGATCACGAGGTCAACAGATCGAGACCATCCTGGTCAATGTGGTGAAACCCCGTCTCTACTAAAAATACAAAAAATTAGCTGGGCATGGTGGTGCATGCCTGTAATCCCAGCTACTCGGGAGGCTGAGGCAGGAGAATTGCCTGAACCCAAGGGATGGAGGTTGCGGTGAGCCGAGATTCCGCCATTGCACTTCAGCCTGGGTAACAAGAGCGAAACTCCGTCTCAAAAAAAAAAAAAAAAAAAAAGAGTGTATTGTATAATTTCTATATATTTGTAAATTTATTAATTATTTATATTAGTGTTTTATACTCTGTGGTTCAAGCGATTCTCCTACCTTAGCCTCCTGAGTAACTGGCATTACAGGTACATGCCACCACGCCCTTCTAATTTTTTGTATTTTTTTTTTTTTAGTAGAGACAGAGTTTCACCGTGTTGTACCGGATGGTCTCAATCTCAGGGCTTGTGAATCACCCACCTTCAGCCTCCCAAAGTGCTGGAATAACAGGTGTGAGCCACAGCGCCCGGCCAAAATTTCAGTTTTAAAAAGTGTGTTAAGACTTGTTTTTAGCCTAGCAGATGGTCTGTAAAGGAGAATGCTGTATGAGCTATTGAGAAGGCTGTGTATCCTGATGTTGTTGAGGAGTGTTCCCTATACCTTCATTAGGAATTGTTTTTCAATGCCTTCTAGTCCTCTGTTTCTTTATTAATATTCTGTCTTATTATTATTACAGATAGTGGGGTATTGAAATATCCTACGGTAATTATATTGTTCTCTCTGTGTTTATTCACTTTTGTTAGTATTTGCTGTATATATTTGAAATTCTAATTTGAGACACACATATAGGATACACATATGTATAAACAAATTTGTCATAGGTTCCCAGTGAATGAATCTATATATTGTTTAATGTCCTTTTTTGTCTTTTTGAAGTTTTAAGATACATTTTATAAAATGTGACAATTTTTTTTTTTTTTTTTTTTTGAGACGGAGTTTCGCTCTTGTTACCCAGGCTGGAGTGCAATGGCGCAATCTCGGCTCACCGCAACCTCCGCCTCTTGGGTTCAGGCACTTTCTCCTGCCTCAGCCTCCTGAGTAGCTGGGATTACAGGCATGCGCCTCCGTGCCCAGCTAATTTTTTGTATTTTTAGTAGAGACGGGGTTTCACCACATTGACCAGGATGGTCTCGATTTCTTGACCTCGTGATCCACCCACCTCAGCCTCCCATAGTGCTGGGATTACAGGCTTGAGCCACAGCGCCCAGCCAAAATGTGGCAATTTTAACTTAAGATGTACCTTGTGTAATATTATTTTGACCTCTTCTGCTCTCATGTTGTTAATATTTACATGAAATTTCTACTTCTGTCTTGCCACTTGCAGTCTTTTTTTATCATTAGATCTCAATTGACTCTTGTAGAAAGGCAAGCTGAATCTTGATTTTTAATATTTTTTAATAAACCTTTTTATTAAAATGTGTCTCTTGATTGGAAGGATAATTCTCTTTATATAAATAGTTTTCTGAAAGATAAAAACTTACCAATGTTATTTTATTGTTTTATCTGATTCTTTTATCTTCGTCTCTCATTTTCTCTTTCTTTTTTTGTGTGTGTGTTTTTAAAATTTTTTATATTGGTATTCTTTCAATTTTTTTCTTATTTTATTTTGTGTGTCTATACAGATTTTTTTTTAGTGGTACCTTAGGGGATTACATAAAACCTTTGGAAGGCTGGTTGCAGTGGCTCATACCTGTAATCCCAGCACTTTGGGAGGCCGAGGCGGGTGGATCACCTGAGTTCAGAAGTTTGAGACCTGCCTGGACAACATTGTGGGACCCTGTCTTCACAGAAAACACAAAAATTAGTTGGATGTGGTGGCAGGCACCTGTAATCCCATCTACTCAGGAGGCTGAGGCAGGAAAATCCCTGGAACCCAGCAGGCAGAATTTGCAGTGAGCCAGGATTGCGTCATTGCACTCCAGCCTGGACAACAGAAGACTTACTCTCAAAATAAATAAATAAATAAATAATAAAATAAATATTTGAAAGATCCAACAATATATTTGAATGTGGTAAAAAAAAATCAACTTCAGTTGCATACAAAAATTCTTTATCATTACATCTGCTCTCAACTTCATTGATTTTCCTAATTATATTTTTATGTTTTATATTCATTAAAAGATGTTTAGAATAATTTCTATACTTTTATCTTTTAAATTTTAAAGATAATTTAAAATGTTTTCTGCACCATTATAATAATGTTAAGAAATTCCATTTTTGTGAACATGCATATCTGTCCCAGAAACCTATATATTTTCATATAATTATGTGTTGTCTTCTTGCAATATGTTATTTTCAGTGGAATAAACTCATTCAACATCTTTTTGTTTTTTCTTTCTTTCTTTTTTTTTTTTTTGAGACAGAATTTAGCTCGTGTCACCCAGGCTGAAGTGTAATGGTGAGTTCTCAGCTCACTGCAACGTTCACCTCCCTGGTTCAAGTGATTCTCCTGTCTCAGCCTCTAGAGTAGCTGAGATTACAAGCGCATGCCACCACACCAAGCTAATTTTGTATTTTTAGTAGAGACGGGGGTTTCTCCATGTTGGTCAGGCTGATCTCGAACTGCCGGCCTCAGGTGATCCACCTGACTAGCCCTCCCAAAGTGCTAGGATTACAAGCATGAGCCACTGTGCCCAGCCTCATTCAGCATCTTTGATATGCAGGGCATATGCAATGCCAATATACTTCCTCAGAATTTTGTTATTTTGGAAGGACTTCTTTTTATTTGGTAGTACCACTTTCCTGATGATGTTATTCTCACTTGACAGCTTTTTTGTTTTCTTGTAACTTTAACAATATCAGGCCGGGTGTGGTGACTCATGCCTATAATCCCAGCACTTTGGGAGGCCGAGGCGGGTGGATCACGAGGTCAAGAGATCGAGACCTTCCTGGTCAACAAGGTGAAACCCTGTCTCTACTAAAAATACAAAAATTAGCTGGGCATGGTGGTGTGCGCCTGTAGTCCCC